AAGCAGAACGGCCACATCATGTGCCTGACACTCCTCTGCCAAAGCAGAACCCACCTTATGTATTAGTTCACGGTTCCATGTGGACGCCATACAAACAGCGGTCGGGAAGCATGTTGTCGACAGAGACGCAATATCCACAGTGTCCTTCTCGTTCGCCCAAAACAATCGCAGTCCGTTCGGACCATCTGTTAAATAAAGCTGTGGTACACCGAGACGGTTCACTGCATGAGTATGCCACGCATCAGCACCACCGCAGAGGTCGGCCTTCTCCTGCACAGTTAGCTTCGAGAGCAGAGTGGCAGGGTCTTCCATTGTATTTAGCGTAAAAAAATTGCTTGTACAAAAAATGGGGATTTGGTATTTTGCTTTTCTAAAACAAAAAAAAAATAATTCAAGAAAAAAGAAAGAGAACAAAAAACCAAATAGGCACCCAACTGTGAGTATTAGTAAGGTTTGTAAGAATAATGGTAATGCACGTTACCACCAAGGTGGACCTGCAGAAAAAATAAATAAGTGGTGTACTTGCTAATTGATGTAGGGGTTGAGATAATTTAATGGATTGGCAGCTTCTTTTTATTTCATCAACTTTCTATCGATCTCTTTACTCCAATTGTTTTTTGAGAAAAATGATTATGAGAACCATAATGGGCTACAGTTGAAGAGAAACCTCAACCTGAATTTTCCTATCATGTATTGATAGCAGTGTCATTGTATATTTTGTTTCGATTTCCTGTACAACTCCCATTATAATTTTTTCTTCTGGCCATTTGGCAGTGCCACACTTTTACCGTCAATTCCAACAGTTGTACCAATGGATATTGCAAAATAAAAATAGAATAATAATAATAATAATAATAATAATAATAATAATAATAATAATAATAATAATAATAATAATAATAATAATAAAGGCGATGCTTTTGAGTGAGGGAGAAATCGACTTCATCCCCTTCATATTGAATGTTGGGAATATCATCGTGCAGTTGATTGCAAAAGTAAGTGCTTTGTTAAGAAAACTGTTTCTCCTTTCTTTAAAGAAATATCACGTCATTTGTCTCATGAAACAATTCATTGTCTTCATCCTTGGTTGATTCCCCTCCTTTGCTGTGTTCCCTTTAACCTGGACACGGTTTCTCATGTTTTTCTTGTCCTGGGATAGTTCAACACAAAATCCACAAATATCATGTATACAGCAATGTCAGACGTGCCTCCAGTTATTGCCATTATCACTGTAATCAATATCAATAACAGTCCACCTGTGTCCGTCACTCCATCCCTTTAGAAACATTTCCCGCGAAACAGCAGCACACACCACCAGACGCAGTATAAAAATAACAGTGCAAAATACAGCATCAGGAGAGTTACATAAAAATCTTCATTATTTTATCACTGATATGCTAATATTGTTTTGCCAACAGAAACAAAGAGTAAATCAGATGCGTTGGACCCATTAAATGTTGGAACACTAAATTGCATCAAGAGTAATACATTGCCAGAAACACCACCGCAGCACCGCAGAAACAAAAAAAATAAAAATCACATGAAAGGAATAATAAGAACAGTCACCAGCACCACCAAGTAAGGTAACACGACTCCAAGAGCAGCATGGAAAATGACCCCTGTTGCAGTTAAATCAAATCATAACAGCTAAAGAATGCAAACAGAGAGAAACATGTGCGCTATACCATCATTCTTAGTGTGTCTATTAAATAGAATTCTTGAGAGACTTGGGAAGAACAACGAGAGACACAAAAAAGAAAAAAAGCAATACATAAATAAAAAATACAAAAAAAAAACAGTAGCATAGGAGGTATCAATACTCACAAAAAAAATAATCCATGTACTCTAAGGTGCATCCACCTATTTAACCCATTTACAGAGAAATGAATCATTTAGAAGAATCCCCCAATCAAAAAAAAAAGTAGAGGCATGCATGTATTTCCCACTTCCCCTTAAACTCGGTATGTGTGTACATTTGTACACCCAAGTAAGAGTACCGAGAAGCGGCACGGTATACACAAGTAGTGTATGAAAATTAGTATTCCAAGAAGAAAAAAAAAACGGAGTGTGTATATACAACTATATATAGATAAAAACACATATATAGTCAGAAAACACCAATGGCTACAAAGCTTTTTCCCAAGGAAGCGAAAACCGCTGCGAGCCCAACCAAAAAAAAAGAAAAGGGAAGGGAAGGAAATCAATTATTCTTTATGTGTATATGAATTTCAAAAAAAAATTATGGAATAATATAGGTTAGAATATGCGTGTGGGGCTCTCACAGGGCCACCACTGCAGCAACAACACACACGAGAAGCATAAGAGGTCCAAAGAACGAGAGAGCGATGCTGTTGTCAGTGTCCTTCCCAGAAATGACACCTGTAGGGCTGTTGGTATTTTCCACTTTACTGTCAGTTAAGTCATTCCCCGTGTTGTGGTCATCTTGTCCATTTTCAATATTAGTTGTGTCGTTGTTATCAGGGGATTCTGGCTTTGATGAACCACCCTCTTTCGATGGAATTTCAGCATTCTGTGTAACCTCGTCTTGCGATGGTTTTTCTTCAGGATGCGAACCCTCGGTTTGAGGTGCCTTCTCGGTTTCTGATGGATCATTTTTCTCTGGTGAACCTCCCTCTTTCGATGGAATTTCAGCATTCTGTGTATCCTCTTCTTGCGGTGACTTGTTGGGATGATGTGACTCTTCGGTTTGTGGTGCCTTCTCGGCTTCTGATGGATCATTTTTCTCTGGTGAATCCACGTTTGGTGATGGAATTTCACTTGCGTTAGAATTGTCGCTCTTGTCGTCATACTCAATGGTGGGAAGATCGGTTTCATTCAACCCTGTGCACACTTCTTCGTATTTGGGGCAAACAATACTCACACCTTTGAATTTAGAATCCTTCATTTCAATAGTGGCGTTTTCACCACTGCACTCAATCCACTTAGTAGTATCTTCCTTGTATTGCACACTCACCTTGCCATTCTCACACTTTACCTTTGCACAAATGCCCTTTGCGGTCACTCCATTTCTCTGATCTCCCTCGCTGAACTCCAGCGGTTTGTTCACATTCAGACACCGTGACATATTGCTCACAATACTTCCAGGCATCAGTGCAACATCACCACTCTCGCATGTAGTTTCCTTTAATGGTTTGATGATGGGGCAGCCATTCGTCATCTCATTCTGTCCAGCAGTCTTTGTAAAGTAGTGGTACTCCCCAGGCAGGGTACCTGGCAGTGACTTGGAGGAACACGTTCCAAGGGCGAAACGGTCAGATGTGCACTGCAAGACCGGTCCGTTTTCGTCGCAGAACATGTTGGTGTACTTCATTAATTCATCCCTGTACCTGTCGCATGTCTTATGAAGTAAATTACATCCAGATTTCTTTCCCCAGCTCATCGGCTCTGCCATGTTGAAGTTCGCGCTGTAGAAAGGCAAGGAATGGAATGCTGCAAGTGTCAGATTAGTGTAGAACATGCCAGAAGGTTCTCCCGTGTATGGACTCATCAATTCATCCTTCGCAATCCTTCGCTCCCAGTGCAACTTTCTGCGACCATTACCCTCATCCTCCATGTACATACCGGTGATATCCAAGTGACAGTCGTAATGTTCTCTCATCATCTCCTGAATTATTTCAGAATCCACGGCCGTGACCTTCCCTTTTCCTCTCAGTGCCCCCTTTTTAATCAATTTAAGTTTCCTCATACGGGTCACCTCAAACCCAAGTCCATGTGCAATCTCATGCGCTGCCGTGCGGACAAAGTGTCTCGTGTCCAGAATGTCTTTCGGTACAAATTTGATCAGTGCAGAAGTTGGTCGTTCTTCTAAATCCTGAGAACATACTATTGTTGACATTTCAGATTCATCAAGACCAACAAAAAGTACAAAATCAGCCTTGGAGAAACTTTTTTTGTGTTCCCATGACTTTATGACCCCGCATTCTCCCGAAAATGAGTTTATGGTGCTTGTAGAGACCACAACTTCACCCTCTTTCTGTTCAATGTTGAGACGATCTGTATGCAACTTGATCGCGGCGAGTAAGAGTTTATTCAGTAAGAGGTCCTTCTTTTCATCAGTTATCCCAGTCTTATTATCACAGAACACACTGTCGTCATATCTCCGAGTACCCGTCCCCTTTAACTGTTCGGCCAAGGCTCGCTTTCTGTCACAGTCCCTCAACACATTATTCACGCCTTCTGCGGATACTTCGATGTGTATGGGCTTCCAGTTTCTCCCACTCTTCTCAAGGTCGGCGACGGTGTACGCATGCAAAGCACTCTCTCCTCTTTGTGGTAAGTGCTGCACAACAGCAGCAAAGGATGTGCCGGCACAGCATAATAACAGGAATAGCAGCAGTACAGGGTACAATAGGTGACGCATAAAGTAGTTCTCCATGATACAATGGTGTGAATGAACGTAAGTATGTGAACTTGTGTGTCTGTCTGTTTGTGTGTGTGTGTTGCTTTGTTCTTGTGACAGCAAAAGAGCAGAGAGAGGAAAGAAAAGAAAAAAAAAGCGAACATGATAAGGAGAAAAAAGTGTTCATGTGTACATTAATTAGAATGCTATTAGAAACTACTACCAATGCTACCACTGGTACAAAAGGAATACCAAGGGTAAAATAAGAGGAGAAACCAAAGAGATAAAGTAGACATCAGCATTATTGATAGGTATCTACTCAGTAGCAACAACACTACAAGAAAAAATAGAATTTGTGAAAGAGTTCGAAGTAGTCTCCACTGTGGTTGTTTTACTTGTGGACTGAGAGTGCACAGCATACATCTGCACCTTTTCTCTTCGTTGCTTTTCTTGTTGTTGTCGCCGACGCAGCAGTACACAATACAGAATGACAGCCACAATAACAAGAACAACTACAACTGCGATAACAATACCAACAATGGCACCAACAGATAATTTATTCGAGCTTGGCGCCACTGCTGAGTCACTCTCCGGCAAAAAAGGTTCCCTCACATCATGCGACCAAACATAACGGCTGCCGTTAAATGTCACATTAGATGCAACAAAGCAAAAGGTCACTTTGTCAGCACCCAGTTTATACAGACTGTACAGACTCAAAATGTCAACATCAACAGATGGGGAATTTGG